CCAGTACCTCCATTAAAATAGATAAGCCTAACTACCCCCCAAAATAAATAAATTAATTAAAAAAGAAGAAGAAGAGCAAATGTGCACAAGCATTCTCTAAAGGACAGGTGAAGTCCGTGAGGCCGGAGCAGTGTTCATGTGGAGTGCTGTGTTGGTGGGAGGAGAGGCTCGAGGTTAGACAGGAGCTGAACCTGGGACTTCGCTAAGGAAAACATGGCAGTAAGATCTGGGTGTCACAGCTCCACTTGTAGTGTGGGAGAGAGACTGGAGGGGGAGATGGAACAGCTGAGGGCCAGTAAGAAAGATGTTGAGACTTTGCAGTAAGTCCTTAGTAGTGGGAACTGGGAAGGCGGATATTTCCAATGTCAAGCCTCACGGGTGTTGAACACACCCTTCAGGCAGTCTGTTAAGTGGAGGAGTCCATTGTTCTCTCCTCCCCTGCCAGAGAATTTGACTAGAAACCTAATTAGTACCACTTGTTTCTTTAAATAGAGGCCACTCCGAAGATGAATTGTCTCTATGTTTCAAAACTCTATGATCTGCAATTACTTCTTTGAAAGAAATGTCATCTGTACTTTCAGGTCCTACCAAACGTTTTCCTGTGGCCATTGTCAATCGTATTCTGAAAGATGTGTTAACTACCTACCTACAAGAAGAGCAGTACGAAGCAGAGCTCTGTAGACAGATGACTAAAACAGTTTCTGAGGTATATGTATGATTTCCCAAAGTGTTAGCTATGACTAGAATATTTGCTGAAAGCACAACCCCCTACTTTTTGATAAAGGCGATGAATTTGCAGTCGCAGTAAAACTGCTTATTTATATTTTATGAAAACATTTATTAGGTCATATTCCATGTGTGCCTGTGTGTGTAAAAAGCCTTTGTCTAAAACAATTATTATGTGAGTCATTTGCATATATTCTTTTTAAAAATGTATAAAACTGCCCCATTTATTTTAAAAATTTATTGTAAAAGATACAATATTTTAACGATCATTTTCTCTTCCCCAAGGCAGCTAAGACCATGCCGTCAAATACAACCATTATGGCCTTTAAATCGATTTAAATACATTTCTGTTTTTATCAGCTAAAGTGCTGGCACTCCACCAGGTTTTCTCGACTTTCTTTTTTATAACAAACTCTTTAATAAGCATTCATGATTAGTTAAATTACAGGAGACTCCAGATGTATGGCCCCTTAATTAGACATGAACAAGATGGTATAACTCCAGTGCCAACACTCTCTGAAGGGAAGCCATCCCAACATAGATTTTCAAAGAATGTAATAAATCCATTGAATTCTATTCTCTGGACTATAATTTTTCCATGTGCCTTAGAAAATGAAGATTTCTTACTGGTGCTATTATTTCGTCCCTAAATGTCCTAGCTTGTGAGGACAGCACTCAAGGGAATCACAGCTAGCATTCTACAACAATTACTGAAAGTATCTACTATGCAGCATGCTATTTTCTTAAATCCACTACCTTTATGATGAAAATGAAGGCTCTTAACTTTCAATGTGACTAAGTGAGGACTTTTTTTTTCTTTTAATTTCTAGGTTATTAAAGCCCAGGTCAAGGACTTGATGGTTCCACGATATAAGCTAATTGTAGTGGTCCACATTGGGCCACGGACTAGCCAGAGCATACTTATTGGAAGCAGATGCCTCTGGGATCCTAAAAGTGATACTTTTTCATCCTACATTTTCAGAAATTCTTCTCTCTTTGCTCTTGCAAATGTCTATGCAGTTTACTTTGAATGACTGAGGACAAGAAATCTATTTCTTACTTTTTTAATCAAAAACTAGGCTGTATCTATGTACACAAAAGTTTCACTGCCCAGACGTTTGAGGCAAAAAACAACACTCATATTTCAAACCACTGGAAATTTGGGGACTCTTTCATATTCTCATAAGAAGTAGGGGAAAGAGGGTGGCATGAGAAAGAATCTTGTTTATCCAAAGAAGGAGTTAAGTCTGAGTTCTGCCAAATTGTTTTTCATAAACATAGACTCGTATTAAACATTTCTTTTGGTACTAATTATTTTAATACCTCTTTAATTGGAGAGTTAGAATCCCCTGCATTATTTTTTAATGAAGAGAAGTTTTAAAAAAAAAATCTAGCTATGTACCCTGACCAATAAAAGACAGTAGAATATTCAACCTGGTATACACAAATGATCAATGTTACTATGTCTCAGTGCTGCCTGTAAAAGAAATACTGGATTTCATTTTGTACTTAATAAATTGAGCAGCATTCATTAACTGCAATTATTGTTACATGTACCTGACAGTTGAAACTGCTGAGATAGAATTAATGATTTCATAACAATTATCGTCGTCCCACAGGACTGCTGGCTAAAACTAGAAGCTCTTGTGGGTTGCCTGCACTTTACAGAATTGTGGGAGAACCAAATGTTAGCTCTTCAATAATGGAAACAATAAAGTGGACAAAGTCTTTTAGGGCACTGAAGTAGATGCTGTGATATTAAATATACATGATGCTTAATAGTAAGTGTATCTGTAACACATAAAATCAGGTATTGGAAAGAGACACTGCTTTTAAATATACACCGGCTGACGTGCCTTTCAATAGCTTTTCCTCGGCTAACAGACTTTAACACAAAATATACAGCTGGCAGTTTAACAGATAAAACATATGTATTTACTATTTTTTTCCTATGAATTTAATACCAAAGTGACCTCGTGCGGTTTTGAATGGATGGCACTAAAATTCACAGGGCTGCAGTAGCTTGTTATTCTGTGGGTTAATATAGCCTGTACCACGGATCATTTATTTTTATGGAGGTTTCAGCCCTTTGTGTGCATGTAAAATGGGGCTGCGGCGTTGTTCTCGGGTGGTAAGTGGGCTGCCTACAGGGCATTTGTTAAAGGTCAAAGACAAATTATACACATATGGAGAAAATTAGCAACTCCTTAGTCCTAGGGAAAACTGATGTGTAATCCATATCAAAAAGAATTTAACAAATGGGAAAACAGTCAATGTTTTATAGTTTTAAAATGTATTGATGTCTTATTTTTCCCTTAAAATGACATGTATCTTTTGTAAAGTATGCTTTCTAAATCCCTTTTCTTCTCTTTGTTCTGGCTTTTAAGGCAGCATTTCAAAATGAATTAGTCAGCTTTTATTATTTTTTCTGATAGTGGGCATATGTCTGTGAAACAATTTATCACAACCAATATTCGTCCATCTCCTCATAGGCAGTTTTGAATCTGGGTTGCACAAGCACAGGATGTAAATGAGTTTCCTGTTTTCATTATACATTTGTGAACCTCTCCCCTCTTGGAACAATAACAGGGGAAATCATATAGCAATTTGGCATGAATAAATCACTATGAAGAAAATTTTTTTATTATGTAGAAAGTTCATTATAAAAGCAGCCTTATTTTTTTTTTTAGAGTTAAAAAATCTCATCCATGAGATAATTTCTTACCATCTGTCCTAGGCTGTGTTAGGATTCAAAACCGTAAAACAGGATGGCAGTTAAAAAAGCAAAAAAGGAAGCAGTTTGCCAGCATATTGTCATGTACTGTAATTCAGAGAGCTGATGAGTTCTAGCAACTCTGTAATAGCAGAAGAATACACAGCAAAAACTCCCTCATTGTGACTAGCTTGGAAGAATGCTGGTTATCAAAAAAGGCTCTGTGATGGGAAATTTTGACAGATGTGTTAGCTAACACCTATTGCAATGTATAAATGTATCAAGTTAACATGTACACTTTAAACCTAAGCAATGTTATGTCAATTATAATTCAATTTTAAAATAAACATTTTTTGAGGTATCACCTCACACCTGTCAGAATGGCCATCATTAAAAAATCCACAAATGATAAATGCTGGAGAGGATGTGGAGGAAAGGGAACCCTCCTACACTGTTGGTGGGAATGTAATTTGATCCAGCCACTATGGAAAACAGTATGGAGATTCCTTTAAAAACTGAAAATAGACTTACCATATGATCCAGCAATCCTGCTCCAGGGTGTATATCTAGAGGAAACTCTAATTGGAAAAGATACATGCACCCCAATGTTCATAGCAGCACTATTTACAATAGCCAAGACATGGAAGTGCACTAGACATCCGTTGACAGATGACTGGATGAAGAAGTTGTGATATATTTACACAATGGAATACTACTCAACCATTAAAAAGGGATTAATTAAGTAATGTCATTTTTAGTAGCATGGATGGACCCAGAGATCGTCATACTAAGTGAAGTCGGCCAGAAAGAAAAAAATACTATATGATATCACTTACATGTGGAATCTAAAAAAAAAGGACACAAATGGACTTGTTTACGAAACAGAGACAAACTCATAGACATAGAGAACAAACGTATGGTTAACCAAGGGAAAAAAGGGGTGGGAAGGGATAAATTGGGAGTTCTGGATTTGCATGTATAAGATAGATAAACAAGGTCCTACTCTATAGTACAGGAAACTGTATTCAATACCTTGTAATGGCCAATAGTGAAAAAGAATATAAAAAGGAATATATATGTATGTATAAATGAATTGCCATGCTGTACACCAGAAACTAACACATCATTGTAAAGCGACTATTCTTCTCTTAAAAAAAGGAAAACAAATAATAAACACTCTTTAAAAAAAGAAATGGCATTGTAAATTTGAAGGAATTGTCTTACCTTGAAACCCACTGAACTTTCCAGGTATTTTTTTCTTCTCTATAGATGTTTCCAAAGTGCCTTTCTTCCTCCCAGATCTGCCCTGCCACCCCTGCCTCAGAGCAACCTCCTTCCACTTACAGGTGCTTTTCAGCATTAAACAGGTCTCACCTTTTCTCAAAGTCCTTCTCCATGCATTTTTTCCCTCCCATTCTCTCTCCTCTTTCATCACTCTCGTGGTTGAGCTTCTGATCCTTCTCTAGCTAATTTTTGAACACTAGTTTTGTTTCCCTTACTAGATTGAAAGCATCTTGAGTATGTGGACCATATAACCTAACAATGCCTAGCAATAAACTGTAAGACATCTTAACTTTCCAAGCAAGAATCATGTGCATTGATTGCACTCCACTACATAACTACCAACCACAAAGGTCACAATGATACATAGGTCAGCCCTAGATGCACTAGGATCCTAGAGGGATGGTAAGCGCACAAGTGACCACAGTACAGGCTAAAAGGCCCGAATATCTTGATGTGATTAAGGGAATCGGGGAAGGCTTCATGAAGGAACAATCACTTATCTAGACTGTGAAGGTGACAGGTAGAATTTCAGCAGACACAGGAGTTCTGAGTCCAGGAAGAAGTCTAGCCTGGATAGACACAGTGTTCATGAAGATAGTGGTGAGAATTAAGACTGGGATCCTGAATGTCTGAGTAAGAAAATGAAACTCGGACCATCAAAGGCTTTCCATGAGACTGCAAGTGTGAACTGACTCTTTAAGAAGGGGAACCCATCAGTAAAGAGCAGGAGAAGTGAGAAGTAATGAGGGGCTGAACTCTGTGGTGGTGACATTGAAATGGAAAGGAGAGGACAGTTGCATGGCACATTTTAGGAACAAGGTCTACATGATTAGGCAAGAGGGACGGGGTCAGAGGTGACTAAGGCAACATGAAAGCTTCAAGCTCTCATGTTTGCAGTCTCAGGTCCGAGTCTGGCCGTCACTAGTTAAGTGACCTTGAATGTGTGCTGACTGCACTGAGCTGCCGCTTACCCATCTTCAAGTACAGCAGTGATGTTGCTGGTACCTACTTCACAGGGTTTTGGTGAAAATTAAACTCATATGTTTGCTAAGATCTTCACAGCACAGTGCCCAAGAGGAAGCCCTAGACTGTAGCTCCTGGGATGGCAGCTGAAAGTTTGAGTTCGAGAAACTCAATCAGTGGTCCTCGGCAAAAATAAAGTCAGTAGGAAGAATTTGAAGACCAAAATCCTAAGCTGGATTCTGAGCTTGTTGAATTTAAGTTGATAACGGGACACTCAGATGAAGATAGCCTTGGGCAGCTGAAAAAGTGGGACTGGAACTGAGCTACAACATCAAGGTGAGAAATTTAGACCGGGCAGCCATCCGTGCTGAGACCTAATATCTTCCTTCCATTTTATAAAATATTCACGAGCAGCAGCTTCAGCAGCTACAGTCAGTACCAATAGCAAATTACTGAAAACTCAGTTAACTCTAAGAATGTTAGCAGGAGACCTCCCTCGAAATCAACAGAGAATTTTCCCCCCAAACAAAATTAAATGATAACTTCTTTTTTTTCCTTCATTAAAAAAAAATTTCTGTGTGGTCCATCTCTGTTGTCACACATCTCAAGAAATGTAAAGATTCAGCCATCTTAAGTGGAAGTGTCAATGCTGTTGTCTGTTGTCATTGTTAGAATGACTTTAAAGGAAACACATAGTAAGAGGCCCTTGCAGCAGAGTCCAACGGATTACATGTCGGGAAATTGAGCTACTTCGGTTCATTGATTTTTTTTTTTTTTTTTTTTTTTACTCTTGGGAATTATCCAGTATATGGGAGTGGTTTACAAAACGACAGTTGAGAAATTAGAAGTTTTAAACCTAGCCATTTTACAGAATGAATACTTTCCTTCTTGGGACCATTACTTGACCTGCTTTTCTAGATATTATCAAAAAATGCATTAAAAAATATTGAATAGCTGTTGATAATTTACTGTGCTTTTTTTTTGCTCCTGAAATTCTTACAGAAGTGGCCTGCACTGCTACCTCTGACTTTGTCCGCTGCTGTCCCCTTCACCTCCTGCAGTCTGGATCTCAGGTCACCAATTCCTTGCCTTCACAAACACCAGAAGTGGTCCCCGGGGCCAAATCTGCCAAACATCCCCCGCGCTGTATTCCAATTCAGCTCTCTGCTGAATTCATTTCTTTTGAGCAGCCATGTGATATAAGTTTGTTTTGGTTTTGTTTGTTTTTTTTTTAAACACAGATATGACAGACAAACATCTCATTTTAGCTTCCAGATCTTACCAGCTGTGTGACTTTGAACAAAGTGGCTATTGCCTGGAGCCTCAGTATTCTCAAAGCTAAAAATGATTATAATTACGATCGTTGCTTATCACCCATCAGAGATCAGTGATCACTACTTGTGTTCTTGCTGTGGAGACTGAAAGGGGAAGTGTAAGTAAGACGTCTGACCCATCGCGGAAAGCTCACGCTCGACCTCCAAATTCTTTATGCACAACCTGTTTTCCTAAAGAACTGAGCATATGTTTCAGCAATTTCAGCTCTCCACCAAAACGTAATACCCTAGATTACCTGGTTTTTTTTCTTTTCAAAGTTTTAACCACCTGCTTCTGCCTTCTTTGAGTACCAAATCATTTGTTGTCAAGTCCACATTTATTAGAAGACATTATCCATTCCCAAATTTATCCTCTTGTCGCCTGCCTCTGCCTGTTTTTTTAATGCTTCTGATCAGATGTCTCGCCTTCCACGTCAGGACCTTCTTAGTCCCTTTTACTGTGTTTGCTTACTGTCACTGGTCTACTTATTTCTTCCACTCTTAGCGTCCAT